ACACACATACACACACACACACACACACACACACACACACACACACACACACACACACACACACGCCAATTGGTATACAGAATTATATGAACATGTTTGCTGATGATTCTAAGATAATAGGAAGGATAAGAAACTTAGATGATTGTCATGCCCTTCAAGATGACCTGGACAAAATAAGTAAAAGAAGCACCACTTGGCAAATCGAATTTAATGTTAATAAATGCCATGTTATGGAATGTGGAATAGGAGAACATAGACCCCACACAACCTATATATTATGTGAGAAATCTTTAAAAAATTCTGATAAAGAAAGAGATCTAGGGGGTGGTTCTAGATAGAAAACTATCACCTGAGGACCACATAAAGAATATGCCACGCTTTCTAATTTCAGAATTGCTTTTAAATATATGGATGGCGATATACTAAAGAAATTGTTCACGACTTTTGTTAGGCCAAAGCTAGAATATGCAGAGGTTGTGTGGTGCTCATATCTTAAGAAGCACATCAACAAACTGGAAAAGGTGCAAAGACATGCTACTAAGTGGCTCCCAGAACTGAAGGGCAAGAGCTACGAGGAGAGATTAGAGGCATTAAATATGCCAAAACTAGAAGACAGAAGAAAAAGAGGTGATATGATCACTACATACAAAATAGTAACAGGTATTGATAAAATCGATAGGGAAGATTTCCTGAGACCTAGAACTTTAAGAACAAGAGGTCATAGATTTAAACTAGCTAAACACAGAAGCCGAAGAAATATAACATTTTTTTTAACCTAGAAGGGTTACCACCTCTGGTGCAAGTGTAGGGACCCATAGCCTCGGAGAAGAAAATAAAGAGTACTCAGAGAAGACCTTGTGGATGCTTCGACGACGAGTTAATTGGCCGTGCGCCATGATAACAGGATCAATCAAGTTGGATGAACCAGCGAGGAAGAGGATATCCTTAACTGTAGTGAAGAAACTAGTGTGAAGAGTTCAGTACTTAGCCAGACTGTTTCACCAGCACTATGGACCCTGGGCTATACAACGCACGGGGGTCCCTACCCAGACACTGGGGCCCGCCCGTCAGCTAAGGGACCAGGATTACTGTCAAATAGTTATGAACAAATTATTTATTATATTATATTATACTTTATTATATATATATATATATATATATATATATATATATATATATATATATATATATATATATATATATATATATATATATATATATATATATATATATATATATATATATATATATTTTGAAGGGGGATTTGAATACCAGGCCTTTCCAGCGAGAGGTAGAGTAACTGTCCATTCTGCCAAGAGGTCTCTCGGGAACCCCGTGGGACCACGGGACCCCTAGAATAGCGGGCCCTGGGCAAATGTCCAGAGGTCAGATTCACGAAAGCACTTACGAACGTGTACATCTTTCCTCAATCTTTGACGGCTTTGGTTACATTTAACAAACCATTTACAAGCATGAAAACTTCCCATTCAACTGTTGTTATTGTTATAAACAGCCTCCTGGTGCTTCGGAGCTCATTAATGTTTAATAATTGGAAACAAAGTCTTCAAAGATTGAGAAAAGATGTACAGGTTCGTAAGTACTTTCGTGAATCTAGCCCCCAGTATCCCATACGTTAAGACGACACTGGACTTAGCTCCAAGAGCAACTTAATCGACATAAATTGCTTGGATCTTCAGAAGAACTTTTTGTTTTCTTTCGTTTTATGAAGAAATATATGCAGCATGTAGTGGAAAATTGGACGCCGGGCAAGAGGAATTTCACTGGCGTGCTAGTGCATCTGGTCACTTAACTTTCCAATGTGGCGTTGCTCTCTGGATCACTCGTAGAAAACTTGGGAACAAGGGTTATGAACCAAGGAGAACTCTGTAGATGTAATACACAGAGGCAAAAGTTTTTTTACGACCTTATCGTACTGACTTACACGAAGAACATCTTATTTTTTAAATTGTTTCAGTGAGGAAACACACACTAGTCATGAGGCTTTTGCTAACCTTGTAATCATTCAATCTTGTATATCTTTAATTTCACAGCTCGTAGACTGTTATTAGTGCTGTTGTGCTTTCATGCTCATCAACTTGTGATTAGTAACATACGCATGTATGATTAATTCACTGTTGGTATACCCGCGAGGGCTTAATTATATCTTGTTTAAGCTGTAACAGCTGCTATTATCATTACTACGCCTTCGTGGTTCAGTATTATGTTACATTGGACAAGGCTGAAGGGAACATATTTAATGATGTATGACAAAAAAAACGCTGAGAATATATATAATGTAGATGATAAAGATGTAGATGTAGATGACACTGTAGATGATAAAGAATATTTATGTGTGCAGACTCAGAATATTGTGCTACCCTATAGCACAAAGTTATAATGTCATATACCTTATCCGTATATATGTAGACTATACCAGATAGGGTATGTGGCGGTGACCGGGGCGACCCTGTCTCTCTGTCTCTGTCCTCCTCTGTTTCTGTCTCTGTGTTTGTATCCTCCTTTGTGCCACTTTCTCCGTCTTTTGTCTCTATATCTCTGTTCCTGTCTGTCTATCTCACTTTCAGTCTTTCCCTCTTTTTTTTCTCTATATGTGCCTGTCTCTCTCGCTCTGTCTATTTGTTTCTCTCCGTCTGTCTGCGTCTCACTATTTATCTCTCTGTATCACTCTGTCTCTTAGTCTCACTTAGTAAATATGTCTCTTTGTCTCTTTGTGAATCTCCCTCTTCGCCTCTGCCTGTCTCTCTCTCTCTCTCTCTCTCTCTCTCTCTCTCTCTCTCTCTCTCTCTCTCTCTCTCTCTCTCTCTCTCTCTCTCTCTCTCTCTCTCTCTCTCTCTCTCTCTTTGCTTTTTATTTCTGTTTCTCTGTCTCTCTTTCCTGGTACCAGTCTTAATGCCGAATGTGCATGTTCACGACGCTGCACTGGAGGTGTATGGGTAGGGACTTCCACACATAAGGCAGCAAGTGGGTGAGTATACAAGGGTATGATATCATGAATATATATTACAAGCTATTTCGGGTAAAGTATGATGGAACCTTTTGGAAATTTAGCAGACATGATGCATATTATGTTTTATATGTTTTAAATATTTTACATTATAATAAGCAAAAAGATAGAATAAAATAAAAATATATTACAAAATCTCTCCAGATAATATGATATTCCAAGATTCATCGTAGGGGTCACTTTGGCACTGTGTTAATTGGTACTCGTTTTATTAATGGCAATGAATGACCAGCGCAGACGATGTTGGGCACGTAACCAACAGCAATTACTGTTAAAAATTTAGGGAGACAAGCCCCAAGCACCTGGCCCCCAGCCTCTGACAGACAGACAGACATTCTCATTAACAGATATAGGTATCCATCCATGAAATAATAATAATCAAAGCAAAACCGCAGATTTCTGAAATTCTGTCGCAAAATATTAGGGTCATCACTCTCCTTTTCCGTAGACAGAAGTTTATACGAAAAGAGAAACAAGAAAAGATAGAGATAAAATATATGAAACCTCGCTTTTCTCGCCGGTGCGTCCTGATGTTGTCATGGCGACCAGACCCTACAAGTGATCCGATTGGTTAGTGATGGAGTGGTACCTTGGCTTCCAAGAGATGTGATTGGTCGGTGATAGAAGTCGCTCTCCCCATCGTCTCGACATCTAGGTGGAGGCTGGAGTCCTCCGTTGTAAGGCATCACACGGAGAACGCTGTTGAGATGTGCTTCTTCATAACTGTCTTTCTCATGCCCTTGGAAGGTGCCCTCTGAGGGCTCCTGTTGTTATAATTGTTACGGAAGGAAAACTTTACGAGAAGAAAATAATTCATTAAATGAAAATGAATCTATTCGATGCTAAATATAAATTAACACTTGTATATGTTATCGTTGAGTGTACTCATGTAGTTGTGCTTGTGGGGATTGAACTCTGGCTCTTTGGTCCCGCCTCTCAACTGCAATCAACTGGTGTGTACAGATTCCTGAGCCTATTGGGCTACATCATATCTACATTTTAAACTGTGTATGGAGTCAGCCTCCACCACATCACTGCCTAATGCATTCCATCTGTTAACTACTCTGACACTGAAAAAGTTTTTTCAAACGTCCTTGTGGCTCATTTGGGTACTCAGTCCCCCCCCCTTGTGTCCCCTTGTTCGCGTCCCACCCGTGTTAAACAGTTTATCTTTATCTACCCTGTCAATTCCCCCTGATAATTTTGTAGTTAGTGATCATGTCTCTCTGAGCTCTCCTGTCCTCCCGCGACGTCAGGTGCATCTCACGCAGACTTTCCTTGTAACTCATGCCTCTTAGTTCTAGGACTAGCCTAGCCTAGTGGCATACCTCTGAACTTTTTCCAGCTTCGCCTTGTGCTCAACATGGTACGGGCTCCATGCTGGGGCCGCATACTCCAGGATTGGTCTTACATATGCTGTGTACAAGGTTCTGAATGATTTCTTTCACAGGTTCTTGTGTGTGTGTGTGTTCGTGTATTCACCTAGTTGTATTCAGTGTGCGTGTGTGTGCGTGCGTGCGCTCATGTACCCCACAGCGCACGAGAGTAATGAGACCCTAACAGAGCCAATCACGTGAGAACTGCACTTCTGCACCACCACCACCAACACGCTGCCTGGCGCCCTTCCCTTAATACCAGCTAGCGGTCGACGGGACTCTCAGCTCCGCTTCGAACCCCTCATAAATAATCCATAATTCCAAGAATATTTCGTCCGAAAGTTTAATGACTGAAAACTCAAGGGAACAAAATATTGGGATTTGTCGGAGCAAGAAAAAAATTATCCTCATTTTTCACTTATTGTACATTTTCCACTTAGTTTATGCTTCTCGAGTTTGTCTGTCCGTATGTACGACTCAATTTATCAGTAAATTACTGATTGGCATCAATCAGTTGCATTCATGTAATTCACTGTCTTGGGTAAGATTAAATCTTAAGCTTAGTAAGACCTGACGAGCGGTAATAGAAATTTATAGCATTAACGTGTAAAATAAAGCATTAATTCACTTTCGTGGAAAGCCAGGCCGCTCTCTAATTGGTTGGACTGTGGTAATGGAACAGGCAGTGATGGATCAGGAGTAGCTTGTCGACACATCACAGGCGGTGATGGATCAGGAGTAGCTTGTCGACACATCACAGGCGGTGATGGAACAGGAGTAGCTTGTCGACACGTCACAGGCGGTGATGGAAGAGGAGTGTAGCTTGTCGACACATCACAGGCGGTGATGGAACAGGAGTAGCTTGTCGACACATCACAGGCGGTGATGGAACAGGAGTAGTTTGTTGACACATCACAGGCGGTGATGGAAGAGGAGTGTAGCTTGTCGACACATCACAGGCGGTGATGGAACAGGAGTAGCTTGTCGACACATCACAGGCGGTGATGGAAGAGGAGTGTAGCTTGTCGACACATCACAGGCGGTGATGGAAGAGGAGTGTAGCTTGTCGACACGTCACAGGCGGTGATGGAACAGGAGTAGCTTGTCGACACATCACAGGCGGTGATGGAAGAGGAGTAGCTTGTCGACACGTCACAGGCGGTGATGGAACAGGAGTAGCTTGTCGAAACATCACAGACGGTGATGGAACAGGAGTAGCTTGTCGACACATCACAGGCGGTGATGGAACCGGAGTAGCTTGTCGACACATCACAGGCGGTGATGGAACCGGAGTAGCTTGTCGACACATCACAGGCGGTGATGGAACAGGAGTAGCTTGTCGACACATCACAGGCGGTGATGGAACAGGAGTAGCTTGGGCGAGGGGAGAGAGATTATAATTGAATGAATTCTTTTTCCTGTGAAAACAACAGCGTTCTAAAAGACAAAAGACTTACACACAGTTTTCGTTCCCAGGACCATAATTGGTTCAGAATTTGTCAGAAATAGCCGCCGAAAACTGCTAATTGCAAGAACCCTCTGAATGGTTCCCTCACCAGTAATAGAACTGAACAAAATATGCAAACAATGGAATAAGGAAGTAATTACACACACCAGGGCTGCTTCCTGGGGGTGGAGGCCTGGTCGAGGACCGGGCCGCGGGGACACTAAAGCCCCGAAATCATCTCAAGATAACCTCAGGATAACCAAATATATAAATGTCAGAATAGCAGATCCTAGGAGCCATAACTTTAGTAATCAAGAGTTATCAATGATCTAGACATATTTTTTTTAACTTTGAGCTGTGAAGACATTGAACAGGACACACACTCATGTATACACACTCGCAAATTCAAAGATTTAAATGTAAATATTATAAATTTACATGTAATAAATTGTCATTGCATTACGCTAAGAACGTTCGGAAAGCGGGGCTACGAGCCTAACTCGGTCCTGCAAGTAGAGCTGAGTGAGTACACACACACACATCTTTCCTATGGGGCGCTGGTAACTGAGTGGATAGCGCACGGGACTCGTAATCCTGTGGCTCGGGTTCTATTCCCGGTGCCGGCGAGGAACAATGGGCAGTTTCTTTCACCCTGATGCTCCTGTTACTTAACAGTAAATAGGTACCTGGGAGTTAGACAGCTGTTACGAGCTGCTTCCTGTGTGTGTGTGTGTGTGTGTGTGTGTGTGTGTGTGCGCGCGCGCGCGAACAAAAGATAGTAACAGGTGATTGATTGACAGTTGAGAGGTGGGCCGAAAGAGCAGAGCTCCACCCCCACAAGCACAACTAGATGAATACAACTAGGTAAAACCACACACAGCTGTCTTCGGGTCTAGTAGCTGAGTGAACAGCACGCGGGACTCGTAATCCTGTAACAGGGGCATAGGGTGCCCATTGTTTCTCGCCGGCGCCCGGGATCGAACCCGGGACCACAGGATCACAAGTCCAGTGTGCTGTCCGCTCGGCCGACCGACTCCCTCTGGGTTCTGGACAGGGAAATCATGCCTAACAAACCTTTTAGAATTTTATGACATAGTAACAAGGATAAGGCAGTACAGAGAAGGCTGGGCAGACTGCATATTTCTTGACTGCCAAAAGGCCTTTGATACAGTACCGCACATAAGACTGCTATACAAACTTGAGAGGCAGGCAGGAGTAAGCGGAAAGGCCCTAGCATGGGTAAGGAACTACCTAACAGGAAGGAGCCAGAGGGTAATGGTAAGGGGCGAGAAGTCGGACTGGTGAACAGTAACGAGTGGAGTACCTCAAGGATCGGTGCTGGGACCAATCCTCTTTCTAATTTACGTAAATGATATGTTTACAGGAGTGGAATCGTACATGTCAATGTTTGCAGATGACGCAAAATTAATGAGAAGAGTTGTGACAGATGAGGATTGTAGGATTCTCCAAGAGGACTTGGACAGGTTGCAGAGATAGTCAGAGAAATGGCTACTGGAGTTCAACACCAGTAAATGTAAAGTTATGAAAATGGGATCAAGTGATAGGCGACCAAAGGGACAGTACACAATGAAGGGGAACTGCTTACCTGTAACGATTCGAGAAAGAGACCTGGGAGTGGATGTGACACTTAATCTAACTCCTGAGGCACATATAAATAGGATAACGACAGCAGCGTACTCTACACTGGTGAAAATTAGAAGTTCATTCAGAAACCTAAGTGAGGAAGCTTTTAGGGCGCTTTACGCTGCCTACGTGAGACCAGTCTTAGAGTATGCCGCGCCATCATGGAGACCCCACTTGAAGAAACACATACGGAAACTGGAGAAAGTTCAGAGGTTTGCGACGAGGCTTGTCCGAGAGTTACGAGGGATGGGATATGAAGAGCGTCTGAAGGAACTGAACCTTACGACACTAGAGAAAAGAAGGGAGAGAGGAGATATGATAGGGACATATAAAATACTCAGGGGAATTGACAAAGTGGAAATAGATGAAATGTTCACACTTAATAATAACAGAACGAGGGGACATGGGTGGAAACTGGAAACTCAGATGAGTCACAGAGATGTTAGGAAGTTTTCTTTTAGCGTGAGAGTAGTAGAAAAATAGAATGCACTTGGGGAACAGGTTGTGGAAGCAAACTCTATTCATACTTTTAAGATTAGGTATGATAGGGAAATGGGACAAGAGTCATTGCTGTAAACAACCGATGGCTGGAAAGGCGGGACCCAAGAGTCAGTGCTCGATCATGCAGACACAACTAGGTGAGTACACACAATGGTCCTCGACACCTAGTAGACAGCGCTCTGTGGTCGTAGTCCTAAAGGCCCGTGTTTGATTCCTACATGTTCGATGCCCGTCTAGGTAGAAAAAATGGGCAGAGATTCTTTTATCTAATGCACCTATTCACCTAGCAGTAAATAGGTACCAGGAAGTTAAACAGCTGCTACAGTCTGCTTCCTGGTAATGAGCGTGTGTGAGGTAAAAATAAATATATATATAGTTGATATGACAGGAAAAATAGGTCGGGAGTCAGTACACTAGACAAGCGACAATTAGCAAGGGTCCAAATACTTGAAAATTCGACCCAGCAGTGCCCGGATGTCTGTCAGCATGCCTCCCCCCCCCCCCACCTCTTTCCATCACATTCAGTAATGTGTGTTTCAGGAGTCAGACGTCGGTTATGACGCGTGCTTCAAGGGGCTTGATAAGAACTCCTCAAGGCAGTCTTCCCTCAGTCACAGCACCGCCCCTGAGCTAGTAAGTCCACTACGGGATCACCATAGCCCGTGCTACTTGTAACCTGTTCCGAGTAGCTAAATCTATAACAACTACAACAACAGCGGTCTTCCCGCGATGCTTTCTCACTAATCGTTTTCTCCATCAAATACCCGGAAGCGATTTCCTTACAGCCTCCTATCCAACGAATACATTCTCCGTTTTCTATAATATTTTTCTTCAAACTCCAAGTGCCATTTGGTGAGCCACTCACGTAATCTAGGTCTTTTCTATAGTTTTTGCCGCCCGATAACATTGTTATTTGTTCATCTCTGCATGTAAGTTATCCTAGCATGAGTGACAAATCAGCCCTCTCTCCTCCTCCTTCCCTTTTCTTGTCGCGTCACGGCTTTCACAAACGCAGACGATCAAAGAGATGACGAAATAGAGACCGATAATAAAAATCATGGGGGAAAAATCTGGAATGAGCGTTCGTAACTGAAATCAGAACTTTGATGTCTGCCGTTTGAAGTTACAGTAAGAACTGTTTTTATCCAGTGTGTGTGTGTGTTAGTGTGAGTGGGTGTGTGTACGTGTGTGTTAGTGTGAGTAGGTGTGTGTACGTGTGTGTTCATGCGTGTGTGTGTGTGTGTATGTGTGTGTGTGTGTGTGTGTGTGTGTGTGTGTGTGTGTGTGTGTGTGTGTGTGTGTGTGTGTGTGTGTGTGTGTGTGTGTGTGTGTGTGTGTGTGTGTGTGTGAGTAGGTACTCACCTAATTGTGCTTGCGGGGGTTAAGCTTTGGCTCTTTGGTCCCGCCTCTCAACTGTCAATCAACTGGTGTACAGATTCCTGAACCTACTGGGCTCTATCATATCTACATTTGAAACTGAGTATGGAGTCAGCCTCCACCACATCACTGCCTAGTGCATTCCATTTATTAACTACTCTGACACTGAAAAAATTCTTTCTAACGTCTCTGTGGCTCATCTGGGTACTAAGTTTCCACCTGTGTCCCCGTGTTCGTGTCCCACCCGTGCTGAAGAGTTTGTCTTTGTCCACCTGTCAATTCCCCTGAGAATTTTGTAGGTGGTTATCATGTCTCCCCTTACTCTTCTGTTTTCCAGGGATGTGAGGTTCAGCTCCTTTAGCCTTTCCTCGTAGTTCATTCCTCTCAGTTCCGGGACGAGCCTGGTGGCATACCGCTGAATCTTCTCTAACTTTGTCTTGCGTTTAACTAGGTATGGACTCCAGGCTGGCGCTGCATACTCCAGGACTGGTCTTACATAAGTTGTATACAGGGTCCTGAACGATTCCTTACACAAGTTTCTAAAGGCAGTTTTTATGTTGGCCAGTCTAGCATATGCCGCTGATGATATTCTTTTGATGTGGGACTCTGGGGACAGGTTCGGTGTGATATCAACCCCCAGATCTTTCAATTTGACTCTTGCAGGATTTCACCTCCCAGATGATACCTTGTGTTCAGCCTCCTGCTATCTTCGCCTAATTTCATTACCTTACACTTTCCTGAGTTAAACTTTAGCAGCCGTTTTCTAGGCCATTCCTCCAGTTTGTCCATGTCATCCTGTAGTCTCTGTCTATCTTCATCCGTCTTGATTTTTCTCATAATTTTTGCATCATCAGCAAACATTGAGAGGAATGAGTCTATACCCTCTGGAAGATCGTTTACATATATTAGAAACATGATGGGTCCAAGTACTGAGCCCTGTGGGACTCCGCTGGTGACATCTCGCCACTCTGATGTCTCCCCCCTCACCGTTACTCGCTGTTTCCTGTTGCTTAAGTACTCCCTTATCCACTGGAGCACCTTCCATTTTACTCCTGCCTGATGCTCCAACCTTTTTTTAACAGCCTTTTATGGCTGTTAAAAAAAGGTGTATGCACGTGTATGTTAGTGCGTGTGTGTGTGTGAGTATGTGCGTGTGTGTGGGTGTGTGTACGTGTGTGTTAGTGCGTGTGTGTGTGTGTGTGTGTGTGTGTGTGTGTGTGTGTGTGTGTGTGTGTGTGTGTGTGTGTGTGTGTGTGTGTGTGTGTGTGTGTGTGTGTGTGTGTGTGTGTGTGTGTGTGTGTGTGTACGGTTAATACACACACACACGCAATATAATATAAAATACGAAAGAAATAAGACAAAGAAAATAGGAAGAGTGCAGAAACAAGATGAGAGATAAAGAGTGTCCAGAATACGACAACGAATGAGGAATCAGCAATAAAACAAGAA